TCATCAACAAACTAGACGTCCACTCAGAGGCCCAATCTGAAAGTCAGCAACTACAAAGACGACAGGTAGATAAATCCATAAAGATGGGAAGAAACCAGTGCAAAAAGGATGAAAACACCCGAAATCAGAACACCTCTCCCCCTACAAGGGATCACAACTCCTCACCAGCAAGGGAACAAGATTGGATGGAGAATGAGTGTGATGAAATGACAGAATCAGACTTCAGAAGGTGGGTAGTAAGAAACTTCTGTGAACTAAAAGAACATGTTCTAACCCAATGCAAGAAACTAAGAACCTTGAAAAAAGATTTGACAAAATGCTAACGAGAATGGACAACTTAGAAAGGAATTATGAGTGAATTGATGGAGCTGAAAAACACAACATGAGAACTTCGCGAAGCATGCACAAGTATCAACAGCCGAATTGACCAAGCAGAAGAAAGGATATCACAGGTCGAAGATCAACTCAATGAAATAAAACGAGAAGGCATGATTAGATAAAAAAGGGTAAAAAGGAAAGAACAAAGTCTCCAAGAAATGCAAAACTATATGAAAAGACCTAATCTACGTTTGATAGGTGTACCTGAATGCAACAAAGAGAATGAATCCAAGCTGGAAAATACTCTTCAGGATATTATCCAGGAAAACTTCCCCAACCTAGCAAGGCAGGCCAATATTCAAGTCCAGGAAATACAAAGAACACCACAAAGATATCCTTCATGAAGAGCAACCCCAAGGCACATAATCGTCAGATTCACCAGGGTTGAAATGAAGGAGAAAATACTAAGGGCAGCCAGAGAGAAAGGGCGGGTTACCCACAAAGGGAAGCCCATCAGACTCACAGCAGATCTCTCAGCAGAAACCCTACAAGCCAGAAGAGGTTGGGGGCCAATATTCAACATCCTTAAAGAAAAGAACTTTCGACCCAGAATCACATATCCAGCCAAACAAAGCTTCATAAGTGAAGGAAAAATAAAATCCTTTGCGAACAAGCAAGTACTCAGAGATTTCATCACCACCAGGCCTGCTTTACAAGAGATCCTGAAAGGGGTTCTACACATAGAAAGGAACAACCAGTACCAGCCACTCCAAAAACATGCCAAATGGCAAAGAGCATCAACACAATGAAGAACCTGCATCAACTAATGGGCAAAACAGCCAGCTAGCACCAAAATGGCAGTATCAAATTCACACATAACAATATTAACCCTAAATATAAATGGACTAAATGCCCCAATCAAAAGACACAGACTGGCAAATTGGATAAACAGCCAAAACTCATCAGTGTGCTGTATCCAGGAAACCCATCTCACAGGCAAGGATACTCAAAGGCTCAAAATAAAGGGATGGAGGAAGATTTACCAAGCAAATGGAGAGCAAAATAAAGCAGTAGTTGCAATTCTCATCTCTGATAAAATAGACTTTAAAGCAACAAAGATCAAAAGAGACAAAGAAGGACATTACATAATGGTAAAAGGATCAATGCAACAAGAATAGCTAACGATGCTAAATATATACGCACCCAATACAGGAGCACCCAGGTACATAAGGCAAGTTCTTAATGACTTACAAAGAGACTTAGACTCCCACGAAATTATAGTGGGAGACTTCAACACCGCATTGTCAATATTAGACAGATCAACCAGACAGAAAATTAACAAGGATATCTAGGACTTGAACTCAGACCTGGACCAAGCTAACCTAATAGACATTTACAGAACTCTCCACCCCAAATCCACAGAATATACATTCTTCTCAGCACCACATCATACCTACTCCAAAATTGACCACATAATCGGGAGTAAATCACTCCTCAGCAAATGCAAAAGAACGGAAATCATAACAAACAGTCTCTCAGACCACAGTGCAATCAAGTTAGAACTCAGAATTCAAAAACTAACTCAGAACTGCACAGCTTCACAGAAACTGAAAAACTTGCTCTTGAATGTTGACTGGATAAACAATCAAATGAAGGCAGAAATAAAGATGTTCTTTGTAACCAACAAGAATGAGGACACAACATACCAGAATCTCTGGGACACATTTAAAGCAGTCTCTAAAGGAAAATATATAGCAATAAGTGCCCACATGAGAAGCAAGGAGAGATCAAAAATTGACACCCTCTCGTCAAAATTGAAAGAGCTAGAGGAGCAAGATCAAAAAAACTCAAAACCTAGCAGAAGACAAGAAATAGCTAAGATCAGAGCAGAACTGAAGGAGTTAGAGACACAAAAAACCCTTCAAAAAATCAATAAATCCAGGAGCTGGTTTATCAAAAAGATCAACAAAATAGACAGACCACTAGCCAGATTAATGAAAAAGAAAAGAGAGAATAACCAAATTATGCAATAAAAATGATAAAGGGGATATCACCACAGATTCCACAGAAATTCAAATCATCATCAGAGATTATTACAAACAACTCTATGCACATAAACTAGCAAACCTGGAAGAAATGGATGAATTCCTGGACACTTGCCTCCTCCCAAGCCTAAACCAGGAAGAAGCCGAAACCCTGAACAGACCCATAATGAGGTCTGAAGTTGACGCAGCAATTAAGAGCCTACCACCCAAAAAAAGCCCAGGTCCAGACGGGTTCACAGCCGAATTCTACAAGACATACAAAGAGGAGCTGGTACCATTCCTTCTGAAACTATTCCAAACAATCTAAAAAGAGGAAATCCTCCCCAAATCATTTTATGAGACCAACATCATCCTGATTCCAAAACCCAGCAGAGACTCAATAAGAAAAGAAAACTTCGGGCCAGTATCCATGATGAACATAGATGCAAAAATCTTCAATAAAATACTGGCAAGCCGATTGCAACAGCACATCAAAAAGCTAATCCAACAGGATCAAGTAGGCTTCATCCCGGGGATGCAAGGCTGGTTCAACAGACGCAAGTCTACAAACGTAATACACCACATAAACAGAACCAAAGACAGGAACCACATGATTATCTCAATTGATGCAGAGAAGGCCTTTGACAAAATTCAACAGCCCTTTATGCTAAAAACCCTCAATAAGCTAGGTATTGATGGAACATATCTCAAAATAATAAAAGCTATTTACGACAAACCAATAGCCAATATCATACTGAATGGGCAAAAACTGGAAGAATTCCCCTTGAAATCTGGCACTAGACAAGGATGCCCTCTCCCACCACTCCTATTCAATATAGTACTGGAAGTTCTAGCCAGAGCAATCAGGCAAGAAAAAGAAATAAAGGGTATTCAAATAGGAAAGGAGGAAGTCAAATTGTCTCTATTTGCAGACGACATGATTGTATATCTAGAAGACCCCATCGTCTCAGCCCAAAGTCTCCTGAAACAGATAAGCAACTTCAGCAAAGTCTCAGGATACAAAATCAATGTGCAAAAATCACAAGCATTCCTATACACCAATAACAGACTTAAAGAGAGCCATATCAAGAACGAACTGCCATTCACAATTGCTATAAAGAGAATAAAATACCTAGGAATATAACTAACAAGGAATGTAAAGGACCTCTTCAAGGAGAACTACAAGACACTGCTCAACGAAATAAGAGAGGACACAAACAGATGGGAAAACATTCCATGTTCCTGGTTAGGAAGAATCAATATCGTGAAAATGGTCATACTGCCCAAAGTAATTTACAGATTCAATGCTATCCCCATCAAGCTACCAATTACCTTCTTCACAGAACTGGAAAAAAACACCTTAAACTTCATATGGAACCAAAAGAGAGCCTGCATAGCCAAGTCAATTTTAAGCAAAAAGAACAAAGCGGGAGGCATCACACTACCGGACTTCAAACTATACTCCAAAGCTACAGTAATCAAAACAGCATGATACTGGTACCAAAACAGAGATATAGACCAATGGAATAGAACAGAGGCCTCAGAGGCAACACAACCTATCTACAACCATCTGGTCTTTGACAAACCTGACAAAAACAAGCAATGGGGAAAGGATTCCTTGTTTAATAAACAGTGTTGGGAAAACTTGCTAGCCATGTGCAGAAAGCAGAAACTGGACCCCTTCCTGACGCCTTACACTAAAATTAACTCCAGATGGATTAAAGACTTAAACATAAGACCTAACACCATAAAAACCCTAGAAGAAAATCTAGGCAAAACCATTCAGGACATAGGCGTAGGCAAGGACTTCATGACCAAAACACCAAAAGCATTGACAACAAAAGCCAAAATAGACAAATGGGACCTAATCAAACTCCACAGCTTCTGCACGGCAAAAGAAACAGTCATTAGAGTGAATTGCCAACCAACATGCACCAGGCCAGTATATTGTCCTCACTGATATTTTAAGAGAAATTCCTGGAAAATTTTTTGGAAAATAGTTCTTTCTTAATAATTGTATTTTTCAGATTAAATTAAATATCCCCAGGTTCTGCAGCTGTTTTATCTTCACCTTTTGAAATCCCATCTCCATTCTCATGCCCCTCTTCCCTTTTTTTGTTTTACATCATCTTTTAAAAACCATGACTGGCCGGGCGCGGTGGCTCAAGCCTGTAATCCCAGCACTTTGGGAGGCCGAGGCGGGTGGATCACGAGGTCAAGAGATCGAGACCATCCTGGTCAACACGGTGAAACCCCGTCTCTACTAAAGCTACAAAAAATTAGCTGGGCATGGTGGCGCGTGCCTGTAATCCCAGCTGCTCAGGAGGCTGAGGCAGGAGAATTGCCTGAACCCAGGAGGCGGAGGTTGCAGTGAGCCGAGATTGCGCCATTGCACTCCAGCCTGGGAAACAAGAGCGAA